TGAACCCTAAACCCTAACCCTAAAAACTGAACCCTAAACCCTAAACCCTCAACCCTAAACTCTGAACCCTAAACACTGAACCTAAACCCTACACCCTGAACCCTGGTTGTGGGTTCAAGCTCTCGGGTTTCCGGGTTCGCAGCTCACACATCGAAGCAAAGGGGCCTTGATAATTTCAATAGGGTTTGGTTTAGGAGTTTAGGGTTTAGGGTTTAGGGATTAGGGTTTAGGGTTTAGGGTTTGGGGGGGGTTCCTCCAAGGGTTCTTTAGAAGGCTCTATACTAAGTGATCTGAAAATACGGTTCAATAGGGTTTGGCGGGTTCCTTTAAGGGTTCGTTAGAAGGCTCTATACAAAGTGATCTATAATGAGCTGTCTTCTTCAACAACCAGGCCCAAAAAAGTTCAAGCTGTTTAGGATAGACCTTTTGATAATGCCAAAAAAAGTTAAAAGTTCTCCAATTGGCTATCTAAGTAAGGTTCTACGATGTAGGGGTCTGAATGTCGGGTGCCTGTAGCGGGAGATTCGATAAGGAACCGGACCCTGATGAGTACTGGGAGGATGAGGGGACCGAGTTGGCAAGGTTAGAAGTACCCTCAGAAAGGGGCCTTATTAATTTGAATCTGGTTTTGGGGTCTAATATACTATAACTATAATAAAGAGCCACCCAAAATAATGTTGGTAACTATTTGAGTCTCTATATTGGTTAATTCTACCTACAGTTGCTTTATTGTTAATAACCCTAGCCCAAAACCCTAAACCCTAAACCCTAAACCCTTAACCGTAGCCCCTAAACCTTAAACCCTAAACCCAAAAGCCTAAAGCTTCAGGCTTAGCCACCACGAAAGATGTAGAGGGAGGCCCTAAACCCTGAACCCTAAACTACAGTTTAGGGTTTAGGGTTTAGGTTTTGGGATTTTAAACCTCCGAAAAGCTTTCCCAGCGAGCGGAAATAGGGTTCCGGCGAATTGCGTGATTTCCGAGTTTCCGCGTTTCGAGGACGGAACCAATAAGCTCAAAGTCCTAAACTCTTGATGTTGATGTTATAAACCCTACCTCAACCTACCAAGATCCACTTTTCTGTAGGTTCTTATTATAAACCCTAACATGGGCTTTATAGGGCCACTACAAAAAGTAGGTGCTGGTGGGTTGAGGTACACCGAAATTAAGACTCCTCTGACTGAAAGACCGCCTGTCGTCTCTGGACACTTCGGCGCGACCTTGTAAGCCATCTCCTCAGAATTCGGAGGGTTTAGATTTTAAGGTTTTGGGTTTAGGGTTTGGGGTTTAAGGTTTAGGGTTTAGAGTTTAAGGTTTAGGGTTTTAATGTGCAGGGTCTAGGAAGCAGTAGGGTAGTAGTCGCTTCGCACCTGCGAAAGTGCTCATTACTAGTCGCAGAAGCTCAGGGCTTAGCGTTTGGGGTGGACTCTAGGGGAATATAGGGGCTTTAATAGTCAGAATAGGGTTTTGGGGCCCATTCTACTATATTTTCAAAAGGAGCCCCAAAAATAGTATAGGTCATTATTAAGGCCCCTACATTACTTAGTTTAGGGGTGGCCCTAAACCCGAAACCCTAGGGGTGCTTAGTTTAGGCAGTCAAGGGCTTCGGGATCGACGGAATCTAGGCCCTCTCGGCGCAAAATCTGTGGTGCATCGGGCCCAAGCTGAGACTTGAGGCGCTGGAAGTCCTTGTTTCGGGTTTATAAGGTTTATATAGGGTTTATAGGGTTTGATTGTAGGGTTTATAGGGTTTCAGTATAAGGTTTAGGGTTTATTTATAAGGTTGAAGGCTTAGGGTTTTGAGAGCTTCAGAAAGAACGGCTGGGGCCTTGCATGTGCTCCTGCGGCAAATGGCCTAACTTGACATCCGCACCGGCTGTCTTCAAAATCAAGATCTTGTTCTGGCCGAGTATGAGCATTACTGCTCACCTCGAAGTCATCGGTTCGCGCAGTTTGCAGCCAGATCAGCGACTCGGGTGCCAGAGGCACCGCTTGTCTGACAACACAGAACTACCAGCGCCTTGCCGACGAAAGCCACGCGCTCCACAATGTCTCGCACCGGCTCTGTCTCCTCAGCTCCTCAGCAAGAGCGTCCTGACTGCCGGCACCTGGACTGCCCGACAACCTCTCACGAGCACGCTGCTTTGGGCATCTACAAAGCCACTCATGACCATAAAATCATCCTCAGGGGTGTGTGGGAGCTGGGTTCATGGGGTAGCTATTCGACAAGCAGGTTACTAGATATATACCTGTATGTTCTGTTTCGGCAGCTGGATGTAAGCCCTAAACCCTAAACCACTTTGTTTTTGTAACTGGAGCCTAAACCCTAAACCCTAAACCCCAAACCCTAAACTTTGTTTTGTAGCTGGAGCCCCCGGTTGCCACAAAAGCCGGATCCAGGCTATGAAAGTCCGCAAAAAGGAGATCAGGCTCCTAGGGTTTAGGGGTTTATTCAGGATTTAGGAAACTAGGACCTTAGGGTTTAGGGTTTAGGGTTTAGAGGGTTTAGGGTGTATAGGATTCAGTTTTCAAGAGTGTGCTATAGGAAGGCGCACACGGGGTCCCTAAACCTCAATGCCTTTACCCGCAAAGGCGAGGGGTACCACGACAGAGAGACTGAGAGCACTTCTGTGATCAAGCGGTGCGACGTGGCATTGCCATCAAACTGCCTCAGCATACCTAGCAGGATGTACATTTCCCAGTCGTTATACTCAGACAGCAATTAAGACCTGAGCGGTTTCGGAATTAGGGTTTAAGCAGGGTTCAGGAGCCCTTTCTATAGGGTTCAGGGTTGAGGGTCTATAAGGTCTACAAGCCAAGCAACATCACATCCAGCACCGCCAGCGACAACTTGGATGAAGCCTTCTACATCCTGGCGCGCGATCAGCCGGGTTCAGGGTTTAGGGTTTAGGGTCCTGCCTGAAACGGAACCCTTACCGAAGATTGCAAGGCTCTGCTCTTTGTTTGTCTAAAACCGACATCCTCCCAGAAAATGGCAAATTCCGTGCATTTCGACATGTTGCCTCAACTCTGAACGAAAACGCCTCTAGAGGGTTTCTCCTGGTGCACTGCGGTGTCAGGAGATGGGCTCGGTCTTCATGCTTGTTCTTAGGGGCTGAGTACCCTAGCCCAAAAAAGGTTAACCTTTGGAATTATAGTAGGATCATACAAGCCCCAAAAGGTTAAAGGTTACCTATTCAGCCCCTGCGTGTTAGTGAGGAAGGCAGGCCTCGGCTCTACAGAGAGTTCGTGTAGTCTGCACCGTTGAGAACTTGATATAGGGGCCTTAATCATTAGAATAGGGTTGTGGGGTATAGTATACTAAACTTAATCAGGAACCCCCCCCCAAAAAAAAATAGTATCGGTAATTATTAGAAGGTCCCTATGTAAAGCCTGATTGCCCGGCCTTGTACACTCGCATCTCGTTGGACGTGGCTTTTCCTGCTTGAACAGGCGGGTCGCGCCAATACCTTCTTCAGTCGGATTCCCAGAGCAGACCCCAGAAACCCAGCTACCACATGGTCAGCTCTCGAAACCTTTAAGGCTTAAGGTTTAGGGGTTGGGGTTTAGATTCAGGGTCTGTTCCTACATGACCCTGGCAATACGACCCATCATATGACAAATTGGCATGCTTCAAGGCTTCAAGGTTACGGAGTAGGGGCTTGCTTTTCACTGGCTCGAAGAATTCAGTGACACTGCTGGCTGTTCGGGGCATCGGCATTTGTCATTGCCGCCGACCCGCCGGAAACGAAAAACCACCACCACTACAACCAAAGCACCAAGACTTCTTCCAGCTGTGAGCAACATTACTCAGTTCCGAGCTGCGACTCAAGGGATCTAACCTTGACTGATAATGATTTAGAATATGTCAGTTGGGGCGGGCACCTGTGCGCGTGACCGGCAAAGTAAAGATCGACGCCATACTTCCTGGGCAAGGAGCGGAACCCCAACAGAACATGTCGCCTCTTTGCGTCTAAATTCAGTGCAGCTGTCGCAAGGTGGAGTGTACTTGCTCCGTGATACCCGCTATACAGCTCCACCATAAGTTACTCATATCCCGGCGGGAAGACTGCCGCTACTATGACTATGCACATTATGTCAAGCAAAGCATAACCATGTATTTCACCGCCGCCATGGTTATCGCCATCATCTCATCGTCACAACAAGCTCCACCAGCATAGTCGCCATCATGACGACCATCACTTACAGAAAACCATCGTGACAATCATCAGCGAAGCCATCATGAACAAACCCACGGATAATCGAGTCGGTGCCATCTTGTCCACGGACAACAGACGCTGCCGCAGCAGCAACAGCAGCATCAACAACATTGCCACAGGCATGCCCAGGCTGTATATAACGATAGCGGATTAGGATCTGGGGATTTGGACAAAGCAACGAAGTTGCACGCAAATTTCGGCCTGGCGCAACCAAGCCTTCTGGATGCCCTGCCTCTGCTTGCCGCCAGGAGGCTCAAAAAGTTCGCTGACGCCGGATTGCTTGATGTTTTTCTTAGTTTCCATGGGCATAAGGCTTAGGGATCGTCATGGCGGAAGATGCTACCAAGCGTTCGGAATGATGCAACTGGTGTCGACTAGAACTTGCCCTTAGTCTTTTGTGAGCCTGTATAACCTGTAGATCGAACAACGCATTCACAGCAAGTAGGTCGATCCGCTATTTGCAGCTCAACATATTGTAGACTGTAACCGTCTGACAGCTACAGTGAGAACTACGGACTGTGGCTTCAATGTGCCTAGTGCGCTACTCTGTGCAGTAGTCCGCAAGTCTACAACAATGCCTGCCTTGAAAACAAGACTCTCTCCCATTACCCCTCTAACCCTCCAGGTACCTACTATATAGGGCCCTACAACCTCTAGCACCCTATATAGTAGGTACCTGGGGGGTCAGGGTACGATTCTTCGAACTATCTGCAACTGGGATGCAAGTGGGCGATGACCGCCGGCAATAATCCATGGCCTGCCGGAGCTGGTTTAGGGTTCAGGGTTTAGAGTTTAGGGTTTAGGCCTAAACCCTAATCCCTAAAACGTCGCGGGCTTCGGGTTTAGGTTATATGGTTTTGGACTAGGTATGGGACGTAGACAGAAACGGGCCCTGGACCCAGATAAAAAGCCCTTAACCAACCAGCGCCCAACACCTAAACCCTATAAACCCCAAGCACAGCCCTCATGCCAAGAAGCCCTAAACCTATAATGTAGTAGAAGCCTTATATCGTTAGAGTAGGCTTTTGGTGTGGGTTATCGTACGGTTGCAATCGGAACTAGAAGGGAAATATCCGACCCCTATCTCGGGCCCTTAGGCCCGCAAAAAAACCTCAAACCACACCCCGGCTCGTCTCGGTTCGAGTCGTTCTATTGCTGCAGGTTTTTGTTTAACTATGCTGTAAGAATTTAGGGTTTAGGGGTGTAACGGTGTAACCTTAACGTATTCTTGTGATTCCTGGCTTTGTCGCTAGGACCACTGTTTAGGGTTTTGGTTCAGGAAGCTGCTAGGATCCTATACGGGTAGTTCTCTAAATCAGGGTCGCTGTTGGGGTCCCCAATATAGTACGGCTCCCCTGTAAGAAGGACTCTAAACGGGACTCTACTCTAGAGAACTACCCATACAGAAAACAAGAGGGAGCTGCAATTGAGAAAATGCTTAAACCTTTTACCCGTAGTCCCCCCTTGTAGTTTTGTGTTTTGCTTAACCACCTGGGACTACAGGTTAGGGTTTTGGGTTGTGGTTTAGGGCCCGGTAAACAAAACAAATTGAAGCCCAAAGGGAGCTGCAATAGGGACTATGCATAAAGCTTCGAATTCGGAACGCGCCATCCCAGGCCATGAATTCAAACTTGAGAAGCTTCCCAAAGACGGGCCGAGATGGATTGATCTGTGTCTGGCGTTGATCGCTTGCTCTATGGTTTAATGTTTAAAACTAGGATTTCGGGGTTACGGGTTGAAAACTAGGGTAGAGGAATAGCAATCACGCTGATCTACTGAGGCTCCAGCATTTGGGGCAGCCATGCTGCTTGAACGGTGAGATCCCAACATCGAGACGGATTAGCGATTTGGGTTTATCGTTCTTTGGAGTTCTTCCCTTTGGTCTCAGGGATTAGACGTTTGGGGCTTAGGGAATGTGATCTGCCCATGCTCTAAGACCATGAAAACCTTGAACCCTAAACCCTAAGCCTTAAACCCTAAACCCTAAACCCTAAACCCTAAAACCTAAGCCCTAAACCCTAAAAGCCTTATACCCTACAAGCCCAAAACCCTTGAGCCCCTGAACCCCAGACCCTAAAGATCACAGAACCTGAAACCGTTCCGGAGCTCGTAAGCTGCGAAGCTCAGAAGACTGAAACACGGGGACATAGCTGCCCGTAGTGGCATCCATAGGCGGCACCCCATACAGTCCATATTCAGGTCTCATAAGATATCTAATCTTTAGGGTTTAGGGTTTAGGGTTCAGGGTTTAGGGTTCAGGGTTCAGGGTTCAGGGTTTAGGGTTTAGGGTTCAGGGTTCAGGGTTCAGGGTTTAGGGTTTAGGGGTCATCTTTGTGACGTGACTTTTTGTTGAAAGAGCCCCTAAACTCTAGATCCCTCAGGCTACCGGGCCGAAAGCTCCAGAAATCCGAGGAGCCCTTAAGAACGAAGAGATTGAATTCCAAACCGGAAACCTCGAGCCTCCAACTTAAATCGCAGAGCCCTAAAGTGTTTTAGGGTTAGGACTTTAGGGTTTTGGGTTTAGGGTTAGGAGTTTAGGGTTAAGCCCTGCCGAAGCCTTATGCGAAGCCTTGTAATACCCCTAGCGCAACCTAAGGAGCTTGATCCGTTCAACCCGAAAGAGGCGCCTGAGCCCCGAATTTCGTGCAGCAACAGCTTCCTTCAAGTCTTCCTGCCGGATGGCTATCGGCCCTGAGAGTCCCCTGGTAACTTTACCGTGATTATATATATATATATATATATATATATTAGGTTTAGGGTCTAGGATTTTAGGGCTTAGGGTTTAGGATATATATATATATATGTGGCCGAG